CAACGGTCAAATATCTCGAAAACAAAGCATTTTTAAGAAAAATGTTTCAAACAGAAGTTGTAGGGTTTAAAAAGATGTACTTATTGATCATATCCGTTTGACTTTGGGTGGCGTCGCCAAGGTAAGGTCAAAGTCAAATCGATTTCTTTTATGGAACATCTTATTTTTGGTTCCAGAATCTATTAGCTGGTATCGAATAAGCTTTCTAAAACACTATAATAAAGTTCATTTTCTACTAAGTACTTTTCGAGTTATGAGACAAAAAATAAATTTTTAGTGCAAAAATAAAAATAAGAGGAACAATCTCTAACCTTGATCTTAATAAATGTTATCCAAGGTATGAAATATGAACCTCCTGAATAACATTCAAGAGGTTTTAACCATTGGTTGGACCAATAACCTTGGATAATGCTAACGTAGGTGGCACTGTAACTCTCGTCACCAGCTACTAGATTCTGTAATCAAAAATAAGATGTTCCATTAAAAAAAATCGATTTGACCTTGACGTTAGCGACACTATCCAAAGTTAAATGGATGTGATTAGTAAGTAGATCTTTTTAAATCCTACAACTTCTGTCTAAAACATTTTTCTCAAAAATGCTTTGTTTTCTAGATATTTCACCGTCGTCGGATTTTTGATACACTGTATATATGTATATTTGTAGAGCTTCCTGGTAGTGTATTCTTATAATATTTCATAATCCAACGTGTGTAAATACACCATTAATTTCGAAATCTATCATCGTTCATTAGACACAAAATGAGTTTCTTTGCAGAGCGTTTAAACCTATTTTATTATTTTTGGAAGGTTTCTCAAGCTTTCCTAGGTAAATAAGCTTTTTTTTATGAATGTACAGACTTTCAAAATGGCAACTGCACAGGTTTTAAAGGTATCCATTCAGAGCTAATTTTGGCCATTTTTAGACTGCCTCCTTTTTTGATGTCGAGGAATTTAACCTGTGAGAACTGAACCACTTTCAGCAATGTCCGAACTACAAAAGATATGCGACTTTACTGTCGAAACTCGCCAGCGTTGGAGCCGGCACCCTCTAGTAGCGAGCGGCAAAAGTTAAGTTTACCATCTAATAATATTGATAAAGAAAAAATATGTTCTTTACATGATTAATGTTATTTTTTTTAATCATTTTTATTCTATAGCTTTTACAAAACTATCCTTTTTGAAACGATTAAAACAGTTTATTATGAAGTCAGTTTACTTTTATTGATTGATAGGACAATACCCTATCAATATAAATTATTTACGTCATTCATGATAAAAAATCACATTTATTGAGTTGTGTCACTTTTGAAGTAAGAAAGCAATACTAATTATAATTTACTTTTATTGCTAAGGATCTCTTTCATCAACCTCGGTTAAGCTAACCGACGGTTACATTGGGTTCATTTAGGCCCAGTTTAATTTAAAATAAGTTAAACCTTGGTTAATAGTTAATCATGAGTTGTGAAACTGGACCTAAATGAGCCCCATGTAACCTTCGATTGGCTTAACTGAGACTGATGAAGAAGACCCTAAATCAAGGTTGGCAAAAAAAAAAATTTTTTTTTGTTTTAACATAGCCAATGGTCAAAACTGATTTTAACTGGTAAAAATTGGTTTTAATCAGTCAAAATCACTAGTCAAAGTGTATTTTTGTTTTTTAAGAACTTTTAACGACTTTTTATTGTTGCAAGCTCACCAGATGTTACCTAATGTACCTACTTCGATAGTTTCCATTGTTTTCAGCTTTAATATTTTTTTCTTCTTACCTCTCTAAAAACGCTGATGTAGTACTAGTGCTCTACGGTGTACGTATAGCCAATCCTCAAAATTGGTAACAATGTATCAAATTTTAAATATAAAAAGTAAAAAATTCAATGGTACAGTTGATTTTATTGATTACTAAATATCAGATTGTCTAGATTACCTGAGTATTTTATTTCATTTTAGTAGTTTAGTACTGAAGTGCAATGTTCTAAAAATTTACTTTAACCACCAACAAAAAATAACTTAATAACTAAAAAATAATATTTTTTTCTATTCTTATATTGTTTATATTCTTTCTGTATGCATTGTATGCAATAAGAATGTTTGTTTTGTTTAAACTTATTACATGATATTGTATAAAATATATTACTCAACAAAATTAAAGGATAACCTATTCCACCCTACAAAAATAGGCAAATTTCAAGATAGAATAACTTCGTAAAAAATCATTGTATCGAGGACATAAACATTTTTTAAAAAAACATTTTACAGCTTGAAATCTTTACTTTTCAAATCGGCAGTTAAAAAATCGGTCTTACTGATTTTTGTGAAGTTATACAAACATAAATGAAGACACATCAGATCTCAAAATATTTTACGAAATTTGCAAAGTTCCACAGGGCGAATTGAAAATTATACACAAATGCGATTTAAATCATTCGAAAGAGTAAATCTTTACATTTAATTTATTTTTTTATGAAGCTTTGTACGATTTTTTCTCTCCGAGTTATTCAACATTGAAGCATAAACGATCCTTTTTACTTTGATGTTAAATAACTCTATAAAAAAAAATTGTACAGAGGTCAATAAAAAAGCAAATTAAAGCTAAAGATTCACTCTTACGAAAGCTGTAAACCGCATTTGTGCGCAATTTTTAATTTGCGCCGTAAAATTTCGCAAATTTCGTAAAAAATTTTGAGATTCGATACATTTTCATGTATGTATGTTTGTGTAATTCCATAAAATACACTAGTTTACAAAAAAATTTTTTTTTCAATTACTTTGGACCAGACTACGTGCCTCTTATTGATTTTTAAATGCTGAAAACAATACCGCAAACGAAAAAATTCTAGCACGTCAAATTTCCAAGATAATTGAGGTTTAATATTTAAAAAATGGCTTTTTTTGTGATATTTGACATTTTTTAATAAAGAAGGTTAACGTTATTTTAATATTTCGATCAAGAGTCATGAATGCATTGTCCATCCCCTATAAAATGCATGTTTTAAAATTTCAATACCTTACTTTTTAGCCATGTTATGAACGATTAAAGATAAGAGCTATTTCGAATATGAGTACTGCGGCAGCGCAATATGCGCATGCGGTAACGCTAAAATCATTTTAAAACAACAACGCACATACACACACAAATAGAGAGAGAGAGTGAGGGGGGAAGAGAGAAAAGGGAGGGGAGAAAGAGGGGAGAGAGGGAGAATTGATTTATGAAAGATATGTAGTTTCATATTAATAATTGCATTTTTTTTTTTAAGCAACGATGTATTTTTATTACACGAATGGATTAGTCTCATAATTCTGTGCATAAAAGTATTAAGGTACAAGGTAAAGTATTAAGGTTATCAAAATGTGACCCTAAGAAATTAATCCGCATACACATATGACGCTGTCGGAGTCACCGTATTCAAAATAGCTCCTATCATTAATCGTTCATAACATGGCTAAAAAGTAAGGTATTGAAATAAAAAAAAATGCATTTTATAGGGGACGCACAATACATTCATTCTTGATTGATATTACAAGATAACGTTAACCGTTTTTATCAAAAAATGTCAAATACCGCAAAAAAGCCATTTTTTTAGTATTAACCTCAATTATCTCGGAAATCCGACGTGCTAGAATTTTTTCGCTTGCGGCATTGTTTTCAGAATCCAAAAATCTATAAAAGACACGTAGTCCGGTCCAAAGTAATTTTTTGCTGTAAACTAGTGATATCAGTAAGACCATTTTCTAAAGTATCTGAACAGATTTTTAAGTTGTAAAATGGTTTCTTAAACATTTCAATATGATGATTTTTTACAAAGTTATTCTATCTTTAAATTTGCCTATTTTCGTAGGATGGAACAGGTGATCCTTCAATTTTGTTGAGAAGTGTATATAATAAAATTTTCTGACTTTTTTATACCCCATTAAGCTAGGCCCCCCACCAGCGCAAATCGGGTCCGGACATATTGAAAAATTTAGTGCTCTTTTGTTGCTAATTTGTTGCTCCAGAAAGAATTTTGTT